GTGAAGGTTGTCATTTCCAAGCCAGAACTCGCCATTTAGATTTCCAAAGCCATTTTTGTAGGATTTCCATTCAAGAAAGAAATCAACAGAGCCGTCAACACGTCTCTGAAAAACGGTCCAGCCTCCACCATTCGTTGACATGTCACACAACACTTGGATTGGTTTGCCACCATCTGGATTGATGGTGTACACGCCACTGGCGTTGAAACCATCTCGGAGCAGCTGGCTGCAGCTTTTTGGGTCTGTAGACAACGAGAGAAAGAAAGGAATGGAACATTCCCCTAGCTACAAAACTCGACCCCCTCCTTTTCAATCCATCTCTAACTTATTGTAATCATTATTATTATTTTATTTCATAACATAATCATCATTATTTTATTTTGTAATATAATCAAAGTAAAGCGCGCGCTCTGATTGCTCAATTCAGTGTCCACCGTTTGCCTGTGTGTTTACGCCACCGAGGTGAGCAAATGCCAAAACTAGTTTCCGCGCGCTTGTTTTTTCTAGTCCTGTAAGATTTCAGTGTTAAATTAAAGGGAACTCTTTTGCTACAATGTATTAATGTTATATTATAAAACGAATGGCAAACACCACAGCATACACTATCGAGTTATGGATGCACACGAGAAGTTGCTAAACACGAAAGAAGGGGAAGAGTCGCTCGAGGCAATAATTTAACCGAGAGCGACTCCAGCTTCTTGAGTGCTTAGCAAACCTCCCTCGCCAATCCATTGCTCAATAGCTAGTGTACACTTTGGTGTTTACAATTTGTTAATTTGTAACTATCATCATTATCAGTAATAATAATATCATTATTGTTATTATTAACTTACTACAGGGTTTTCCTGTGTAGTTATGATTACACTGGCACTGTGCACTGCCATGTTGATAGTTGGGAATGCAGACTCCTTTGTGACCACATTGGAAACTGTCCTCTTCACAAGAGCTCTGTGAAAATGTTTCATCAAAATTTTAGATTGGTTTCATAGATTACCTTTAATGAAATCTGTAAATTGAAGCAATCCGATAAATCTGTGATCTAAGTCACTCGAGCAACTTACCCTTTCACGTTATAACAAACAAGCATGGACTTTAACGAACCAGTATCATTTATTGGCCGAGGGAGGGTGGGGGCAAAGAGACGGTGCAGGAAGATTATATGTTTTTCAGAAGGGACGGAGGGGGGATCAGTCTCATCGCCAACAGACTATCGTGACCCAACCAAACTCCGACCCCCTATAGTGATAAATTATTACCGGCCTCTAACTAGATTAACATAGCTCTGCCAATCACTGCTTCGGGCGAAAGCATGCTAAGATGACTAAGAGTTAAGACAAATTTCATCACTCTTTCCTTGAATGGAGCTAATCGAGGGTCTCAATAATGGCGTAGTGGTGTTTATGGTTAACGATTAAAATTTTGGCCAATTTTATAACGGCTAGCGCTAACGGATAGAATCGCATCATTGAATAAAATGTTGCATTCTGGCTGGTAAACCGGAAGCGAAGTATTCAGCGTGGAATTGCGCATTGAAAACGAGGCTAGGTAATTTTGTTTCGCATTTACGCATACAACAATCATAAGTAATGCTGTTTTCTTTTTCTTTTTTCTAATTTTTATTCAATTATGTGATTCAAGGAAAATTCAGTATTTGACTCGTGAATTCCGCGTGAAATTGCACTTAAAAAAAGATATCGCACTCGTCGCTTCGCGATTTGTGCGATATCGGTTTTCGCGTGCAATTTAATGCGGAATTCCCTCGTCAAGTAATGAATCTTCCTATGATATCTTTTCCTTGTGGTCACCAGAAAAATTCTCTCGGTTTATTTTTTTTTTCTACGATTAATAGGTTAAAAATGTGTCTCTTTTTACGCCTAACTGCTAATTTTTTTGGCTGTTTTATCACTAATGGTTAACCCCATCGCAACAGCGGTCGTGATGCATGTCTGTAGAAAATCTCTTCTTTTTTTTTTCAAATTACCATTTTCCTCTTCCTCTCCCTTTTTGTATTCTTTTCGTCTTCGCTCGTGGCGCACGTGATTTTACAAATTAGCCAATCACGTCAAAGAGCTTTAACCTTGACACTGAAAATTGACGTGGACATTTTTCGCGCGTATCTTTTGTTGATTGATTTAACTGAGTTCTTCTCTGTAGTTTTTGTTCAAGCCATTTTGTTACCCCTCAGTTTGGAATTTAAAGAAGTTGTCGCAGTTTTTATTTTATCCGAATGTTGTTATTTTAACACATATTTCATTTAATTCATATTTTCTACGGAGCTAGGACTTTCGTTACTGTATTTTTTACAGTCACCATGACTAGACATTCTACCTATTTCTAGAAACTTATTTTCACAGTTATTTTAACGATAGAAAGAGTAATTTGGTTGTTTGAGATCACTTGTCTCAAAGACTTATCATAATTGATTCTGCTCCAAACTTTCTCTAGGAAATTCTTCGAACCGTTCTACCTTTATAAACGTTAATTTTGAATGATCTGTAAACGGTAAATGAGGCTGTGTTCATTTTTTCGCAAAAGTTAGGGGTAAACTTAATATCTTTCAGGTAATTTCGATTCTGTTTAAGAATCATTATGGGATATTTTTTGAACTGCGCTACACAGTTTTTCGATTATCGATCTTCTTTGAATTCATCATAACAATTTTCATCAATATCTGGAAGTATCGTGAGTTTCGATTCCCATTAATTAGCATTCCTATGCGAGATTCCTAATTTTCAGCGGTTGTCACATCGTCCTACTACAGTTTTGGCAGATTTTTCCACACTTTTCAGATGTTTACACGTGCGGCCGGTTTAGAAGATGCTTAAAATGCAACATGAAATAGAGAATTCGTGAAGTAAATTAAACTACGTAAATGGTTAGATGAGTTAACCTGTACACCGCCGTAAGTAAAATCTTTCTCTTCAATGAAGTTGACAACTCCAACAAATCGATCAGAGTCGCTCAGTTGACATTTGAACACCTCAGGGTTGCTCTTTGTAGTTCCAAAGTTGTAGGAGAGACATCTCTCTTCTTCAACGCATCGAAATTGGCAAGCCCTCTCCGAAACCACTTCTACTTCTCTTATCGAACTTTCGTTCAGCTTTCGCCCTGTTATCGTTTTAGCGAAGTTAACACCTTTCAGATCCGGCATTGAAAGGCGGCTTACGCCATAAACAACTGAACACACAAGGGTAAGTACCGATAAATGCATATTCACTTCAAAAGAAGATGAACAGAGAGATAAGATGGAACTATGCAAGCTAAGCCAAGAGGTGAAGAGAGACAGAAAAATTAACTTAATTTGTATTTGAGTCACCTGTAAATTCACGCCTGCTGATAGAAGTCGGTTTTAATTAGTGACGTGGGAAAGGCATTGTGCTGTATGCTCATGCATTGTATCAATCTTTTCACATTGTTTGTTTGTTTGTTTTTTTTTTTAATTTTTCAATTGTTTGTTACTGCAGGCCTTCAGGGGTGTGTACTGGAAAATCGCTGCACTTGCGCTACTTTTGATAAAACCCTTGAAAACTATTAATCACCGTAAAGCTAAAAAAATATAGAATAAAGAAATTTATCATTTTGGCAGATTCGGCTCAATGGTAAGTGTGCAAAATTAACGATATTTGATAAACTGAATCACCTGCCTTCGTTTTCGCACGAACGACCAAATAAACTGCGCAGTGCTAATTAGATAGACTGCAAAAGTGTGCGGGCACTTTTCCTCCACTATGCAAGCTAGGCTAACAGGTTAAACGAAATATCAGGGACCTTAAACAAACCTCGACGACGACGGCAACGAGGACTTGGAAAAACAAAAGATCAAATTACCATAACAATAGTTGAGCAGGTGCATTTCTTGGCCGTTCTATTCAAAACAACAAAGAAATCACCAAAACCAGTTGCGTCGTCTGCGAACAGAAACCGCTTCGGCAAATTATTTTAATTTCCATTTGGGAACTCAACGCTTCTTTCATACGTTATACTGAAGTTCAGGTGTGGCGCAATATGAGGCGGCAAACACATTTTCATTTCTTAAGTCTTCCTTGGCTTTGCCGCCTTGACCGGCTCAGGTCCCTATTGAAATCTGAGCCCTCAGGCGGAAAAAATTAATTTCATTTTTCAGTCACCTACTAACTTATGCTTGTTTATTTTACGAAGGTATTGTGCTCTATAATTACATCCCTCCTTCTAACGCTGTTTTTATTAAGTTTCCCTTGGATGTTTATTCACCATTGTTTAATAAAGCGATCCTAAAAAAAAACAGAAAACAATTTTTTTTTCTCCGTTTTGTATTTCCAGCTGTGACATGTTCTCGATCTAGGAAGCTCCATTTTCTGATAAATTTTTGGGTCAGTAATATCTGGCTACGTCCTTGTGCCGTAAATAATTCTTATTCCCCAGTTGAGTGTTGAGTGTTGAGTGTTGTTGTCCCTTAAGCTGATAAGTCAAAACATTTAAATTCAATTATCCAGATTAAAGAGCTATTGACAGGTCCCAAGAACCAGTTTGTTTTACTCTTGTCCTTATTCAGGCCAAACTCTCCGGGACGATTACTTGAATCGGCGAGCGCACTAGAAATTAAGAGGTACCCCTAAGCTCTGTGATTAAGGTATTATCTTGGGCTCCCCAAAGAGAAAAAAATTTGCACCGTTTTCCTGATTGTGAACCAAAGCACTTTCTATCAT